GAATTTATATCCCGCCCTTCTCCTTGCGGACTCAGGGCGGCTGACAATCAATTAAAAACACCAATAACAATCACAAAGTTAAAATTAATTAAAATGAAATATTTAAATTGTCTGATTAAAATATAATTAAAAACCCCTCTAAAAACCCCTCTTAAAAATTATCCTAGGCCAGTCCCGCTTGTTGGAACAGCCATGTCTTAGAGCTCCCAGGCCTGTCCCTTGATCGGAAATTCTGTTATCTTTCTGAATATTATCACAGAGCCCCCTTGATCTCTTTTGAAAGCTGTTTGTAAAAAACAGTGGAAAACTTCTCTTTCAGGGTAGATTATACAGACTTTAAAAGAACTAAATATTTAAACTGAAAACCTCCACAGACAGGGCTGTTCACTGACATGGGCAGAGAGAAACAGGGACGCAGCAGTCACCAGAGAGAGAATCTGGGCATGTAAGAGAGGCAGATTCAGGAGCTCCATCCCAAAGGAAGCCCACCTGGACAGGGCTGCCCATCGGCCAAGCCCACCTGGACGCCTCTCGGGTCTCCCTCCCCCGCCTTCCAGACGCCCCTGGCCTCCTCCTAGCAGGGTCCCCGCCCTCGCCTCCAGCCACGCTCCCTCTGAGCCCAGAGCTCCCCCGTCCTCTTCCCCTCCCTCTGCAGGTCTTAAGCGGCCGGCGATCGGCCTTTGCAACAGAGCCAAGATGGAGGGAGAGAAGGGGGGGGAATAGCCAAACCTGGAACGCTTTAGAGCAAAATGCAGTTCAGTGTTGAAAAAAAAGGACGGTCGCTGGGAGGCGGAAACGACCGGAGAGCATAGAAATCAGCGAAAACTCTCTTGCAGACGCCAAAGGCCTAGACGGGACAAGCGTGACTTCCGGCCTCCTATCGCGAGATGACGGTCAGATAGGCAGCATCTGCCACTAGAAAGCGGCATCTGTGGTGGAGGGAAGAGGGGTTGCAACCATCGAGTACTGCATTGCTAGAAAGGACGGGAGTCGAGGAGAAGGTCAGAGCAACTTCCTCTTCCGGATCGCTCAGGGGAGGAAGGAGGCGTGCGGGGGGGGGAGGCTTTCGTGCTCTTCCCAGGGTCGAAGCAGCAGCTGGAAGGTGAGTCGAGGGCGGGTCGGAGGAGAAGCCGGGAGCAAGTCGGGCTGGTCGGTTCGGACGTTGCCCACCGCTGTACATCCGTGACGGTCGCAGCATCCCACCCTCGTGATCCCCGCTTGTGCCTTTCCCAGCCAGCTTCTCCTAAGCAGAATCCCTGGAGAGGCT